CTCCTTCCCCAAATCTGCTGTTGAAGAGCCCTGCATCAGTCGGGCTGATGCTAGAGCCAGCTTTGCTTCCGCAGTCCCTAGAAGTTAAATGGACACATCTCTAGCACACTTGCATTAAAGGCACCTGCCATTTCACAGGCCCCAGATGCTAATGAGGTACGTTTTTGAACCCTAATAACCTATTGTCAAACATTTATCTTTTTCTGGAGGTGCCAGTGGGAGATTGCACCTGGGAACGTCTTCATGCAAGGCAAGCGGTTTGCTCTGAGCCTTCCCAGTTTCTGGCTGCATCAACTTATCTGAATACTTGGCTTCAGTTTCTCGGCTTGCCCAAATGAGCACGCATCATTGTGTCCACGAGGGTGAGCCCTGCTGACTTTTGAGGCGATCTCTTTCGCCGAAACACTGGAAGCACAGAGTTGAGTTTGTTTCCCATTGATTAATTAATTGCCTCTCAAAAGCATTTTCGCAGTGGAAGCGCCCGCAACTAAAAACTATTACGGCAATTTATTAAAAACAATTGGAAATCCACTTCCGTACTTAGAAAAAGGAAAAGAAAAACAATTTCAAATCCAATACAGACGAGGATAAAGAGCTCTGCTTCAAAAATCTTGTGGGTCTTGCAGTTGAAATAGTTTCCTGATGAAGTGAGAAATGGTAAGATTCATCTGCTGTCAGAGGAGTCCACTCCCCTCTGTGTGTGTGTTTTTTGAAAATATTTATTATTGTTGTTCCTATTACACTACAACATTTATATCCTAGCTTTCCTCCAAGAAGCTCAAGGGGTGTGGGGAAGTGTGAATGGTCCTCCCCCTGCCTCATTTAATCCCCACAACATCCCTGTGAGGTAGGTTAGGCCAAGAGGCAGTGACTGGTCCTCAAGGGATTTGAACCCAGGCCTCCCAGGTCCTAGTCTGACACTCTAACCACTACGCCACTCTGTCTTCCTAGTGTGTTGTGGAGAAAATTCAGGTGATCCCCCCCCCACCTCAACATATCCAGACTTCCATGAGCCCAGCCCAGCAAGAGACCTGACAATCGAGACTCCTTGGGGAGTTAGCTCTGTTGAACTCAGTGGGGCTGACATGAGCAGGATCAGGCCACACACCATTCTAATTGAAACAGGGCTGAAGTTAGTCATAGCTAAGACCTTTAAAAAAGGGGGGGGGTGCAGTTCCAACTTGCATTTCCTGGATTCCACCCATAGGAGCAGCTCAATGTCACACTCGGCACATGCTCAGAGGGCCCCGTGGTCTGCACTGGAAGACAGTTGTGGATGTTGAGCGGTGGCGAGAGGCAGCACTTTGCACGTCCTCGGAGGCACCCCCTCCCCGCAAACAGGATCCTGAGCAGAGCGGAGCCTTCCTTGGAGGGCAGCGGCTGAGAGGCTGGCACTAGGCCATCCTTGCCATGCTGCACAAAGGTCTCCTCAGGAGGAGCCACCCCTGTTTGCTTTCCAAGCTGCAAGAGAGTCTGCCTTTGAAAGGGCAGCAAGTAGCAAAGAGGAGACAGGCATGGGTGTAGCCAGGATTTTTTGGGGGGGAGGCGCAGAATCTAAGATGTGTATTGATTTGTGCTGATTTGCAGGGAGCAGCTCCCCCCGCCCCCCCTCGCTACGTCTATAGAGACAGAAAAAACTTTCTCTCCATTTCAAATTTTTATTCATCTTAAATTTGACATGTTTCTGCATCAGTTTGAAAGGGTTTCTTTCAGTGCAGGTTTCTCCCCATATTTACCTTTCTTTGCAATAAATTTCATTGGTGCACAGTAGCACGTTTTTGTACGCTAGTTTCACTCTTACTGCTCTGTTTTATTTGTGATACATAGCTTTGTTTTCCTTTAATCTAGTTTTTTTTTGGGGGGGTGAGTGGAATTAAGGGGTATAATTTATCATTTGCTTGCAAACTCTCCTAGAAGAGACGTGTCTTTGTTTGCATTATTTGGTTAGGAAACCGCAGTCACTCTGGATCGTAAAGGCCACATTCCCACTACGATACCGCTTTAAACAGTTGAAGCTTACCCCCAAAGAATTCTGGGAAGTGTAGTTCGTTAAGAGTGCTTGTTAGGAGACACCCCCCCAGCCCCCTCTCAGTGCTACAATTCCCAGAGTGGTTTAACAATCAGCCCTTCTTCCCAGGGAACTCTGATGATACACACCCCTTCTGAAGCCTCCGGCCATCACCTAATCTTGTGGCAGGGAGTTCCATTGGCTAATTATGTGTTTGTGTCCTGAATCTACTGTCAGTTCAGTCTGGGTGACCTAAAGTTTTAGTATTTTATGAGAGGCGGACAGAGAGAATTTTCACTCTATTTCCTCTGCAACATTCAAGGGTTTAACAGTGCCCAGAAGCAGCCGGAAGAGGCTCCACCCATGCGTGTGAATGTTTGCACGAGGGCTGCTGTCTGTGCCTTGTGTGTCTGTGTGCACAAGGTGAGGGCTTAAGGTGACGTGTGTTTGTGTGTTCCTTGCCTCACCTCTGTTATCACACTGACTTTGCCATCCTCCCTCCTCTCTCTCTCTCCCTTCCAGGATACCTCCTCCTAGCCAGCCGGGATTATTGGTGGTTTATTATTATTATTTACTGCTTTGGCCCACCCAGAAGCCTTTTCTCTTCCTCCCTCTGTGGCAAAAACACACACACACATCTAAACATGAATAGAAAGAGAGTGCCTCTGAGCATGATTTCAAGGTGAGCGGTAAGTCAGAGTTTCACTGGACCAGCCAGAATTTCACCCTCCAGGCCCAATAGTCAACAAAGACCTGTGATAGCTCAGCTGGTACAGGGTTGAGGGTTTGAGTCCCACGCTGGGTGAAAGATTTCTCATTGCAGGGGGTTGGACTAGATGACCGCCATGGTCCCTTCCAACTCTACAGTTCTGTGATTCTAAGAGCCTGGAGGGGTGGAAAGTGTGTTTTCACGGTATTGTTTATTCATTTATTAATTATTGCATTTATATCCCACCTTTTTTTCTCCAAGGAGCTCAAGGTGTGGCGAACATGGCTCTCTCCCCCCTCCTCACTGAATTCCCACAACAACCCTGTGAGGTACGCTGGGCTGAGAGGCAATGTCTGAGCTCAAGGTCACCTCCAGGGAGCTTCATGGTCCAGTGGGGATTCGAATCCTGGTCTCTCCCAGGTCATAGTCTTACGCTCTAACCCAGGGGTAGGCAAACTAAGGCCTGGGGGCCAGATGCAGCCCAATCGCCTTCTCAATCCGGCCCGTGGATGGTCCGGGAATCAGCGTGTTTTGACATGAGTAGAATGTGTCCTTTTATTTAAAATGCATCTCTGGGTATTTGTGGGGCATAGGAATTCGGTCATATTTTTTTCCAAAATATAGTCTGGCCCACCACATGGTCTGAGGGATAGTAGACCGGCCTACGGCTGAAAAAGGTTGCTGACCCCTGCTCTAATCACTACACCACACTGCCTCTAAGCATGCAATTCAACAGTGCATGCTTAGACCTGTGCCTAAGGGTAAACATGAAGGAACAACCTCTGCATGTACCTTGAAGCATTCTGCTCTCACACCCTTTTTTTTTAAAAAAGGAGAGGCAATCTGTACGTGCTCAGGGTTTGTTTTTAAAAAAATTGATTTATTATATTTCTATGCTGCTTTTCATTCACGTGAATTGCAAAACAGCTTACAAACAAGAAATAACAATACAGTAATGTAATCTCTGGGTTAGCTCAGCTGGTGGAGCATGAGATTCTTCATCTCAGGGTCTTGGTTTTGAGCCCCACCTTGGGCAAAAAAATCCTGCATTCCAGGCGGTTGGACTAGATTACTCATGTGGTCCCTTCCAACTTCACAATTACAGTGGTACCTCGGGTTACATACGTTTCAGGTTACATACGCTTCAGGTTACAAACTCTGCTAACCCAGAAATAGTGCTTCAGGTTAAGAACTTTGCTTCAGGATGAGAACAGAAATTGTGCTCTGGCGGCGCAGCGGCAGCAGGAGGCCCCCATTAACTAAAGTGGTGCTTCAGGTTAAGAACAGTTTCAGGTTAAAAACAGACCTCCAGAACGAATTAAGTACTTAACCTGAGGTACCACTGTATATGATTCTGTATGATAATTATAAGATACTGCAAATACAACATAAACTGCATAGAATAATTAGCAAATCGTCAGTAAATTATTAAATTTGTATAATCGCCCTTCACCCGAGGATCATGACACAAACAACAAAAAAGGGAATGCAAAATACATATTTTTATTTTTTTTAAAGGCACATGTGTTGTGCATATGCAGATGGGAGGTCTGGAGGAAGGGCAGCAGATTAGCCTAATAGATGCTAATAACAGCCTCTTGTTTCCTTTCAAGAGGAAAGGTGCATGTTCAAATACTGTACACTTTATTCTTCGTTCCTTTTTTTTTTAAAGCTAATTGGAAGACCCTCAAGGACTATAAAATAGGGTAAATGAACTACAGTGGTTAGATTAGGCCACAAATATGTTTATGATGATGCAATATTAGTTATTATTTACATACATAAGGTTATTTAGACGAATGAAAATGGAAAAAATATCTGGTCTCTGCCCCTAAGGCGCATACATTGGAGCAAATTGGGTGGTAATAGAAACAATAGGTTCTCCCCATATGAGATTAAGATTGATTTGGATTTCTTGGGCTGTGTTAGCTCAAGACGACCCTCCTCCATCTCTCTCTCCTCTCTAAGGTACACATGATTTGTGCGCTGTCCCCTTTAAGTTATGAGTGCCTCTGTTTCTCAAGCTCAGAGACCTCTTTCTTCTGGCTTCCCATCTCATTGGCAGGTCCGGGGGCGCATATAAAACCCTGGAGAATTGGCATGGCGGGGGGGGGGGAAGAGAGAGATGGACCCTAACCTGTTTTCAGGAGGAGCACAAGTTTCCCCCTCGGGGCTGTGGCTGCAAAGAGCCTTCGGGCGGAAGGAAGGGCAAAGGGTTAACTCCGAGGAGGATCTAAACGCAGGGCGGCTGTTCCTGGTTTATTTGGTGTCAGGAGAGGAGGAGGCTGGAGCAGAGAAGAGGAAGAAAGGGAAAAGGCTGGGAAGCAGCCCTCAAGCCGGGAGGTGCAAAAGGTGGCTTTTGGTTCTGCCCAGGGACACCTGATATCCTGGTTAATTTCACCCTTGTCCACCCCCCTGAAACTCCAGCGCAGAAGCAACACTGGGGGGAAACTGAGGAATTGAGCTGATGGGAGACTGGCTTTCTCCCTCTTCTGCAAAAGGTACGTTTTGTGGGGGCTTGTTTGTTTGATTTTGCCTTCTCCCTCCCTTATTATAAATGGGTTTCAGGTGGTGATGCTCTCTTGGCAGCAAAACAAAGTTTAATTATTATTATTATTTGGGGGGGACCCCAGAGATGCCAGAAGTTTGAGGGTGGCCCGGAGTTATAGCTTCTGACCTTCCTGGATTGGAAGCTTTTGCTCCTTAAGATCAGCCATGCCGGGCTGGTTGGAGCAAAGGCACTCTGCACGTGCCCAGAGGTCTTTTTGATGACAGCTTCACGGGGGTTTGCTTCAGTCCTGACTCTCTTAGCCCTAGAGCATGTGGAAAAGGATGGTTGTGTCTCTCTGAGCATGGGCAGAGTTCTTTTCACAGAGTGAGCTGTGCCTTCAGTCTTGTAGGTCATGCGTTGTGAGGCTGAGGCAGGCAGTACCCGAATATGAGTTTGGAAAGATTTTATGTTGGTTTGTAGGTCTGTGATTATTATTTTTTTAAACTGGTTCATTGGCAACGTTCCTGATTTGTTATTGTCTGAAGTTTGTTGTGGTTGCTTAAAAAGCTTCCTTCTGAGCTGTTCTCCTGTCTTCAAGATTTTCACCTAGTTACTTCCTCTCTAACCTTTACCCTGTGCCTTGGGACTGCAAAGCAGAGTTTGCATCCTGTTGGCTTTTGGAAATAAGCTGATGCCTCCTTGGAGAGCCTCAGAGTGGGATCACGGATATGCCAGCTTGCTGTGGAGGGAAATGCACTCTGCACATGCTAAGGGGCACCCTCTACTATCCTCCACACTGATGCTGAAGATAATCTGCTTTCTTTCCCCAAGGCAAGTGGTGGTGGTGGGGAGAGAAATAGGAAAGCTTTAGGGTATTTGATACGAGGCAAGCCTAAAGAATCAGGCTTGATTCCATTGGTTCATTTTAAGACTTCTGTGCTACTTTACATAACTCAGTCGCTCTCGCAAGTGGTGTACAAATTCCAGAATGAACGTAAGGACATTTGAGACAGTCACCCTTGATAAATTAATTCAAACATGGCAGTTAATAAAAGTCACATGAAAGATGGAGCAAGCTTGTTTTCTGCTGCTCCAGGGGGTAGGACGTGAACAATGGATTCAAATGACAGGAAAGGAGATTCCAGCTAGAAGTTAGGAAGAACTTTCTGATGGTGAGAGCTGTTTGACAGACTCTCTTGGAAGGTGGAGGGCTCTCTCCTCCAGTGGAGGTTTCTAACCAGAGGGTTGGACTAGATGACCCCCCGAGTCCCTTCCATGTCTGCAATTCCATAAGAACAGGTGCTGTACTAGATGGGCTATTAGCCTGACCCAGCAGGCTCCTCTTATGTTCCTATATGCTGCAACTGCATATAGCATCCTGTGAGTGACAGGTAGCCATCCAGCCATATTTCCAACAACTACTACTACTGTGGTTTTAAACCACTGAGCCTCTTGGGCTTGCCGATCAGAAGGTTGGCATTTCGAATCCCTGCAACGGGGTGAGCTCCCGTTGCTCCGTCCCAGCTCCTGCCAACCTAGCAGTTTGAAAGCACGCCAGGGCAAGTAGATAAATAGGTACCGCTGTGACGGGAAGGTAAATGGTGTTTCCGTGCGCTCTGACTTCTGTCACGGTGTCCCGTTGCGCCAGAAGCGGTTTAGTCATGCTGGCCACATGACCCAGAAAGCTGTCTGTGGAAAAACGCTGGCTCCCTCAGCCTGAAAGTGAGATGAGCACCACAACCCCATAGTCGGCTTTGACTGGACTTAACCATCCAGGGGTCCTTTACCTTTACTTTACTTTACTACTAATACTACTCATTTTTTTATTTATATGCCACCCATCTGACTGGCTTGCCTCAGCCAGTCTGGGAGGCTTCCAGCAAAATATAAAAACACCGTAAAGCATCAAACATTAAAAAAAAAACTTCCCTATACGTACAGGGCTGCCTTCAGGTGTCTTCTAAAAGCTATATAGTTATTTATATCCTTGTCATGGAGGGTGTTCCACAGGCGCCCCACCCACGTAGTCACCAGAGAAACTTCCAATGCCAAGTAGCTTTTGCAGTTAGGAATCTTCTCCTCAGGTTGATCTGAAATCTGCTTCCTGGCAATTTCCACGCACTGGGTCTCCTCCCAGCTTCTGGATCAACAGAGAGCAGGTCTGCTCCACCTTTTGCATGACCCAGGTCTCTAGGTAGTTGAAGGTGAGCTGCTTTGCCTACCCTCATCTCCTCTTCCCCTACGCCAGGCAAATATTTCAGCGTTTCCTCCCTTAGGATGGGGTTTTCCAGTTGCCTCTGCTACTGTTTGCCATTTTAAAATTCTGCCCTGCTGGAGAGTTCTGTTTAAACTGAAGGTTTGGCTCTCCCGGTGTTAAGAGATATTGGCCTATGAGAGATATTGCCCTTTCATTTTCATTTTTTATTTTATAGGCTGTGCACATATTAGATTAGCTGTTGCTTGAAGATAATCCCGGGGGTGCAAATTTAGAGCACTGGGGTTCCCTTCTTGAGGATTTCCAGTTTTGAATAAAAAAAGCAAGGCTGAGGTCAGGGCACCACTTTACACCATTTTGTGGCTCCTCTGGTGAATGGTTTTACTCTGTTGTGTGGGCATAAGCTGAGGGCAGAAAGAGCAGCCCTCGCAGCAAATCACACTTGGGGACATTTGAGGTTAATGCTTCTCCTATTCTGATTTGAATCTGGACCTCATTTGCTTACTAATGGGGGGAAATGTTTCCCTGCGAAAGACCTTTAGAAATGGAAATCTGGTTGCTTGGGCAACTGAGGGCCTTGTTCTCCACAGCTAAGTGGGTCCACTTTCCTGTGGGGTTCGCCCCCTGGTGAATTTTTCCCATTCTCCTTGAATGATCCTTGGGAATAACCACCTCCATGTTGCCTCCAAGGATGGCTTTGTCTGGCGGTAAAACAAAGTTTTTAAAAAACCACATCCGCTGCTCCTAAAGGTCTTAAGACAAGAGATTTAGAGTTGCCACACAATTATAATGGCTGGCTGTGTTTTCGACACACTTCGTTTTACCCGTACAGTTCAATATTTATTTATTTATTTCATAAAAATTATATACTTCTTGATTGTAAAAATAACCCCAAAAACTCAAAGTGGTTTACAAAAAAAACTGCCCATAAAACTGTCAATAGGAAAAATTTAACAACAATAATCCAAAACTTCCAAAAAGCTAAAATAGCAAGAGGCCAAAAACAGATTAAAACTAAACTTTTGTTTAGGCTTGTCTAAGCAAAAACGTTTTTAGCTGGCGCCGAAATGAGTAGAGTTTTCTATTGGAGAGGGAGCCATACCATCTGTTTTAGAATCAGAGGATTGTAGAACTGGAAGGGGCCCTGAGGGTCATCTAGTCCAACCCCCTGCAATGCAAGAATCACAGCTAAAGAATCTCTGACAGACGGTCATCCAACCTCTATTTGAAAACCTCCAATGAGGGAGAGTCCACCACCTCTCGAGGGTGTCTGTTCCACTGTTGAAAAGCTCCTGCCACCGTAACACTCTTCCTCATGTTTAGTCAAAATTTCGTTTCTTCTAATTTGAATCCATTGGTTTGAGTTCTTCCCTCTGAAGTAGCAGAACACAAACTCGCTTCTTCTTCCATGGGACAGCCCTGCAGATATCTGATGGCGGCTATCATATCACCTGTCTTGCATGAAGCAAGTCCCCAGGTTGGATTCTGGCACTGCCAATTGACATGTTGTTGTTGTTTAGTCGTTTAGTCGTGTCTGACTCTTCGTGACCCCATGGACCAGAGCACGCCAGGCACCTCTGTCCTCCACTACCTCCCGCAGTTTGGTCAAACTCATGCTGGTAACCTCGAAAACCCTATCCAACCATCTCGTCCTCTGTCGCCCCCTTCTCCTTGTGCCCTCCATCTTGTGCCCTTCATCTCCTTGTGCCCTCCATCTCCTTGTGCCCTCAGAGAAGCTATGAACTATGCCGAGCAGGGCACACAAGATGAACAGGTCATAGTGGAGAGTTTTGACCAAACGTGATCCACCTGGAGGAGGAACCGGCAAGCCACTCCAGTATCCTTGCCAAGAAAACTCCATGGACAAAGACAACAGGCCAATTGACATAGGGGTTGCCATATGTCTGGAATTTCCCGGACATAGCTGCAAACAGTGTCCGGGCAGAAATCACTGAAATCTTCAGTAAAATAGCTCAAAAACTTCATTTGCAAGAAAAACTTTGGCAAAAAAAAAAAGACCTAGTGATGGGAAATACCTTTTTGTACGTGGAAAATTTTTTGGATGAGATGGGCCCGTAGCCTGGCTCTGTATAAAGCAGTGCGATAGATAGTGTGGCATTGTTTTGGCATTGTTCATAAAAACAAAGAGGAGAGATTTGTTCTTAAAATCGGCATATGTTGACTTATATGTACCGAGGCAAACTTAAACAGGACTATAATAAATCTCAGGAAGGGAAGAAGTCTGGGGCCTGCCTGGCTGCTCAGTTTGCCATCCAGGTGCTGCCGCCTCTATATGGGCAATGCCAAGGCTACCCCTCTCCACTTCCTGTGGTTCTTGGCCTTTATTTTAAACCACTCTTGGACTGGGCGGGCCTTCAAAGATGGGGCCGCCCCTATAAAGTAGGTCAGCACTTCACTCTGTTTGCACGTTCAGCAATAATAAAACAATTAAAATACAGTACTGGCACAGTAGTAAAGACAACATTTAAATGGATCAATATGTTCTTTATTAGTATTTTACAGCAGTATTACCATAGGAGAAAAGTGGGGAGCGTTTGTTGGAAGATCCAGGACGGATAAAAGAAAGCCCTTCCGCATGCAACACAAAGTTAAACTGTGGAACTCTCTTCCACAGGAGGCAGCGATGGCCACCAACTTGGTTGGCTTTAAAAGAGAACTGGGCAAATTTGTGGAGGAGGGAGCTGTCTGCGGCTGCTAGCCACAACGGCTATGCTCTGCCTCCACAATCAGAGGCAGCAATGCTTCTGAAGACCAGTTGCTGCAAGCAGCAGGAG